AAAGAAAATGATCCCCATTGTGTTGGTTTTGGCAGTGGAATCTAATTTCACAGTTCAAGTTTTCATTTTAATACAAATAATAACATAGTTAATTTATTTAATGTTGTTTTCTTTATTTAAATTATAATTATTTTATTTTACTAGTAAAACTAGTGATTGAAATTTGATTTTAGTCACTAAACCCCGTAAAACACCTCCAAAACTGCAACGTTTAAAGAAAAAATATAACATTGTTAGAAAATATTATTACGCCATGCAAAAGACATCAGTTTTTAAAAACGTAAATATTCCTGCGTGCTTTTTATGTTGCTTTATAAGAAAACTACAGTATAAAGATATATCAATGATATGATTTCAATTAGGTATTTTAAATATCGTTTAAAATGTAGTCCATAAAGATAGGAAAATTATTTTGTTAGACCTAGCAGGAGATAATGTATTCTGATTATTTTAAATTGGAATTTACTGTGAAATATTTATCCTTAATGGTAATGTTAATTCATAATACTTTAGAAACTGGGGCAATTTCTTGAACGTCTCGTGAATATCTCTCATGTAGTCACTATGTATCATTTAGACTTTTTTTTGACTGTTTAAAATAAAGCCTGAAGCCAAAGAAAGATGTCTTCCATAGTGGACCGAGCTAGTCCTACTCCATATGTCAGAAACTATAAAAAACAGACGTATACATTTTGGCTATCTCCCTGGGCATCTGTATTCACATTTGTTTTATACATTGTAAAATAATAAAAAAACCGCATGCTCCCCATACATGAATACGTCGACCACCTTAAAGAACACATCAAGCTGTGAAATATTATCGCTTTATTATTCTAAGGAATCTAATCGGCGTTAAATCTGACGTCTGAATGGGGCGAGGGGCGACTGAAAAAAGGTGCAAAGGGTTAGCTCACACCTAAGACAGAGAATACCGCATGCGGAGATTTAACGGTAGCAACTTATCGAGATTTGGACGAGAATGTGTCGTATTTTATTCATTAATCACGGGCATTTGGATGTCACAAGTTTGTTTGACTTACTGCGTCAGTCAATCAATCGATCAGTTCCCCAAATAAACCAAAACAATATCGACTACTGATAGTAGAACTAATAAATAAATATTGATAGATTAAACAAAATATTTTCATATTCCTCAATAATCTTTTTGGCAACTGACACAATCTTAAGCATACAATAGCAATTGAACAAATAGAAATGTACAATTTTTATGTAGACGTTTAAAATTGTACCTAGATCAAATATCGACATTTTCCCAAATATAGGCACTTTTCTGTACAGGACATCTGCAATACAAGAGTAGTGGTTTTCCAGTGGATGGGGAGGAGGGGAGGTTAAGCTTTCTCACAGCATTTCATGGAATTGTTTTAATTTTATACCAACGTTATTAGACCGATCAAAATAACTCATTTAGAGGGAAAAAAATTGTTACCTGGACTTTTATAAGTGGAAATGTTAAAGGGGCTTATAATAAACGAAAAAATAAAATAAATGCGTGAGCAGAGGCGGCGGAGGGTTGATTTGGGGGGTTGAAAAGTTATGAAAAATTGTATTGGGATTTCTGGCAAAAGTTGACGTCAAACAAAAAAGTTGTAGATCATGCAAAAATCTACAACTTTTGTAGAAGTCATTTTTTAACATAACCTCAAAATTTCCGAGAAAAATGCGAAAAACAGGTTTTCTTCTGATTTTTCGTTTTTTATTTCTCATTGCCGTAAAAATAATTTAATTTTGACGAAACTTGATGAAAGTATACCTATCTCTGTCATAAATAACCTCAAATTTTTTTAGATAAAAAAATCAAGAATTTTCTGATATTTTTTTTTTCGGCCTGAAACACTTTTTTTCAAAGAAAAATTCTACTTAAAAAAACCATCGTACAGAGTTCTGCCGGTAATAATTTTTTTCGTTTTGACGTATACTTTTTGGTGAAATTAAAAAATTTGTAATCACAGTTCAAAAACAGGCTCAAAATGCAAAAAAAGTAAAAAATGTCTTGCAGCAATGAATTTTTCAGTAATTGTTGATAATTTGTTTAAATTTAAAAAAAATCAAAAACTGATTACACCATTCATTTGTACGGAAAAAATACAAAAAAACTGTCTCATTGTTTGACACAAAACTATTTTTATACAGTATTGCTATAATCATAAGTCGAATAGTGAATAAATAAAATAAATAATATTTCTTTCCGTAGGATCGATTAGTGTACTTATTCTTTTTAAAGTTTGATGAATTCATAGATGTGTACAGAGTGTCCAAGATACGGATGGGATAGCATTAGGATCTAGGAAACGGTAAGAGATACGGGGTGGCTCAGATTAGAAAAAAGTTGTGTTTTTTTATACCTATCAATATGCTGTTTAGAAAGTTTTAAAATTCCGGCTAGTTCTGGAAATATCCGGAAAAACCCGAAATTTTGCTTTTGTTTAATTTTTTCTGGCTTTATTTGAAAACGAATTTTAAAATAAATTACATATTTACAATGCCACTTTTTTCGCTCTATACAATGGCATCAACATTTTTGCAATTCGACGTTTCGTCTTCGACGGGCCATCATCGGATTAATTTTTTTAAATACGTCGCTTCTATTTTTATGACAAAATCTAGTCATTTTTAATTCTAAATTAGAGGATATTACTATTGTAATCGCTTAAAAAGTGTTTAGCTTGTTTTAGCTATAATTTAAAATTTTTCCTGAGTACGGCTCTGAACGCTTTCAAAATATCTATTGGATGAAGTCATAACAGTATAAAAGTCAATACCGCACAAAATATCCAACGATTTTTTACTACTTTTAGGAATACTAATTAGAAGTAATAAAATATTTCATAAATTCGTATTATTTTTTATTAGGTACAACTTTTTAAATTATGGATTAAAAAAATTGTTGGATATTTTGTGCTGTATTGACTTTTATTCTCTCCTCTCTCTCTCTCCACCACTAGATACAGGTATTTTGAAAGCGTTGAAAGCCGTACTCTGGAAAAATTTTTAATGATAGCTAAAAACCTTTTTATAGGTATTATATACCTAGTATAGGTATTATAAACCTTATTACAATAGTAATATCATTTAATACAGAATTAAAAATGACTAGATTTTGTCATAAAAATAGCAGCGATATATTTAAAAAAATTAATCTGATGATGGCCCGTCGAAGACGAAACGTCGGATTGCAAAAATGTTGACGACATTGGATAGAGCGAAAAAAGTGTCAATGTAAATATGTAATTTATTTAAAATTCGTTTTCAAATAAACACAGTTTTTTTCCGTAGAATTGAATGGTGTAATCAGTTTTTGAATGTTTTTTGATTTAAAGAAATTATCAACAATAACTGAAAAATTCATTGTTGCAAGTCATTTTTAATTTTTTTGCATTTTTAAGCATGTCACCAAAGAGTATATGTCAAAACGAAAAAATGATTACCGGCAGAAGTCTGTACGATGATTATTTAAAGTAGAATTTTTCTTTGAAAAAAGTGTTTCACTCCGAAAAAAATGAATATCTCAGAAACCACTTGATTTTTTTTATCTAAAAAAATTTGATGTTATTTAAGACATAGAAAGATATACTTTCACCAAGTTTCGTCAAAATTAAATTATTTTTGCGGAAATGAGAAATAAAAAACGTAAAAAACACTCAAACACAGTCTAATTCCAGACCAACTGAATTGCATATTGCTAGCTGGATAGCTTAGTACCTCATGTTATTCGCCGCGCCATTGTCACATTGCTCGATATGAATTGAATCGAATTTTAAATTTATTACAACGCTAATTATTTTTTAGAATTAAGCATAAAGAAGTTTAAAAAAATGATAAACATTGTATTTTATGGTATTCTATGCAAGCAATATTCCTTAATTAATCGAAGATTTTTATAATTTTTTTATCGGAAATGGTTGAGTTTAGGACCGATGTCATTCTACCGTCTGTTAAAATTGAGGCAGTTAAACTTCTAATACCCTGTATAGTAGCAGAAGATAAATAACATGGGTTCTATCTCAGGTTTTTGAAAAGTTTGCAAAATTCATTCTAACACTACAAACTATAGTAATAGATAAAACTATTTGCTTTTAATAATTTACTTCTTCAAATTATGCAAAAATATGACAATAAGAAATTATGCAAAATATAATAATATATCATTTGTGCTGTTTTTAATTATGCGTAACTCAACCAATTCCCCGTCTATACTTGAACCATGTTCAATTTTGATTCATTTGATGCTCTTTTTGTTGCTTCACGAACTGCGCTCTTTTGACATTAAATGAGCAGGACCTGATAAGGATTAATAAGTGGGAATTCGATGAATGTCTGGTGATTCTCCTGACGAATGACCCTAGCTTTCAGAGATGCATGTCTTGCTCTCACAATACCCGCAAAATTGCAGATCGCTCGTTGCCAGTTTGGCTGTATTGAAGGCCTAGATATTGAGTATCGCTGACGATTGATAGAAGTAGAGCATTTTGTTGTATCTTACATCTAAAAAATACTTCTTGGTCTCTTTGAAATAACGGAGTAGAAGTTGCGATGATGATGATAAGTATAATAATGAATGATAAAGACAATAACGATGATGTCAGTGACGATAACAACTATAATGATGATGGTGATAACAGTGATGATAAACATAACTATATCAATATTGTTGACGACAAAAAATAACGCTTAATAATGTTGGAATCGATTTTACATCGTATTACCTACGTGTACGAGAATTTTATGAACTTTTATACCTACCTTGGTATACCTTGGATATCAAAAATTAATAGTAAACGGACAAGAACTAAAATGGAGTAAGGAAAAAAATGCACTAGAAAATCACACTGCAAAAAACTAAGTAAAAGTAAATGGGAAAGGAAAGAGGTGAAGGCTAGGCGAGAAAAAGGTACACGAACTGATGCAAATCCTGAGGATAAAAGTAATAAACAGAATAAAAAAATTGGAATTTGGAAAATTGGAACATGGAATATTAGGAGTATACATGGTAAGGAAAAAGAAATAGTGGAAGAATTTGAACACGCGGATTTAGAGATTTTAGCGATAACAGAAACTAAGAAGAAGAGCGTAGGGATTACTGAATTAGAAAATGGACATGTACTAGTATTTAGCGGAGTACACAAAGAAAAAAGAGCAGCTGCAGGGGTAGGATGCATTATACATAAGAAGATGGTACAACAAATTAATAATTGGAAAGCATGGTCGGAAAGAATATTAGAGGTCAGGTTGAAAGACGAGGGAAGCCATCAAAAAACGGTTATAGTGGTTTATGGTCCAAATGAAGACGACAGAGCTGAATGTAAGGATCAATTTTGGGAGAAATTAACAAAAGTAACAGAAGAAGCAAAGGGTGAAATATATATTGCCGGCGACTTTAATAGCAGAGTAGGGAAAGGAGATCACATATACAGAACAATTGTAGGAGAACAGGGGGAAAATGTAAGAAATAATAACGGTATAAGATTGTTGGATTTCTGTTTAATGCATAATCTTGTAATTACTAACACATATTTTAAACATAAGGATATACATAAATATACCAGAGAAGAACGTAGTAGAGGGGAAAAATCTATTATAGATTATATATTGGTACAGAGAAGTAATATGAGAAGGATTGTAGATGTAAAAGTACAAAGAGGGCCGGAAATATATAGTGATCATTATCTGTTAGTAACAAAAATAAAGAAAATAATAAAACATCAAAATAATGAGAAAACACAAAATGTTAAAAATAAGAAATTTGAAATAATAAAATCCTATAGGCTAGCAGAAAAGAACATAGCTGAAAAGTTTGAGGGGGCAATAGAGCAAAGAATAGAGAAAGATATTGAAATACTGAACGGTAATATTGAGGAGATTTGGAACAAATTTAAAGATATAGTTATCGAAACGGCAAAACAAGAGTGTGGAACATGCAAAAAGGATAACAGGAAGAAACAAACGGTATGGTGGACAGAAAAAATTAAAGAACATGTAATGAGGAAAAAAAGGCATGGAAAAATTACCTATCAAAAAGAACAGCAAAAACTTATGAGACATATAAACAGGAAAGAAAACGAGTCAAAGATTTGGTATTAGAATCAAAGAAAAAGGCTTGGGAAGAATTCGGAAATAAAATGGAGGAAAATAGTAAAAATAATCAAAAACTGTTTTATACAGTGCTTAAATCATTAAGGTCAACAGAAACATATAGTACATTACATGTCAAAAGTAAAAACGGCGACACGTTAACAGATGAAAAAGATATAATGGCACGATGGAGAGAGTACTTTGAGGAATTGCTAAAGGCATCAGAAAATATGGAGACAAATGTACAAAGTGAATTAAGAGTCCTAGAAGAAAATGAAGAAGTAATAACGCTAGAAGAACTAAAAGAGACCATTAAAGATCTGAAGAATGGTAAAGCACCAGGGGAAGATAAAATAACTGTAGAAATGATAAAACACTTAGGAGAAAAGGGTCTGGATATATTACTCAAAATATATAATAAAGCCTGGAGATATGAACAGACACCAAAGGATTGGCAAATTTCATTAATAGTACCAATACATAAAAAGGGAGATATTAAAGAATGTAGTAACTATAGAGGAATAACATTGTTGAGCACAGCTATGAAAATATACGAAAAAATAATTGATAGAAAAATAAAACCAATAATAGAGAAGACATTAGAGGAATCACAAAGTGGATTCAGAAAAGGAAGAAGTACACAAGATCACA